CTCGCACCTTCGAGATACTAGTTCACCGCTCTACCTGTTGAGCTACCAAGCCCAAAGGATAGGACACTCATCCCAAAGTTGCGAGTTCAAATCTCGTCCAAGTCACATGTTTTTCATGTGCATATTAAAACTGTATTAGGATTAATATATGTTATTTTATATGGATATGAGGTTAAAATAGTGGAGCAGAAGGTAAAAAATATTTACATACCTTATAGTATCTTGCCTTTACAGCCAAAAGACACAACATAATCAAGATGATCAAGATAGATATGAACCTCATTATCCTTTTCTACTTCACATGCACAACCTTTATGAAGAGACTAAACACAATGTGATATTTTTTGTGTCAGCACAGGCTTAACACGCGCTAATCTTAGAAATTAAATTTTAATTATGAAATGAATTTGCAATGAGGAAATTGAAATCAGGTTGATGAATTAAAGGTGTTGACAACGCTATGCATGAAGAAGGAATAATTTGACTCGTATCACTCTTATACGATATTTCAATATCAGTTATTAATAAGTTTTTTTCCAAAACACACAAACTAGTCTTTCTTTTACTGAAAAAAGAAAAAGTAATTGGTCGTATGCTTTTAAAAATCACACAACAACATCATAAGCAGACTTATAAAAATTTTTATCGTGATTGGTTTAAAGCTATACAAATATTTTTCGTCAATTAAACAAACAGACGAACCTGTTGTTCTAAATTAACTAATTTTTCAAATCAATTTTAGCAATTGCACGTGTTTTTAATTCTGAATAGAAAAATCACATTAATTTTCGCTCTAAGTATCTAAGAAATTATTAATGATTAATGCAATACTTGGAAGAATACAAATTTCTAAAAATAGACGCTTAAACATAGCCAAGGTCTGCCATTGTCTCTCATATTATCTCTCTACACAAGTCGCCTTTTTATATTTTAAATCAGTTTTTGTTTCTTGATTTATGATTACGATATATACACTGCAAAAACCCTTTTTCACCTGCTGGGACACATGTGGATGAATCACGAAGCCAAACTTAACACGTCACAAAATAAAACTTCTACGTTACACGATAGAGACAAAATAAAAACAAGAGTCGTAGCGAACTTTCCAGAACAAGTTCCTTTCAACAGCTTGTCCCTTTTTAATTTTTTTGTATTGATTGATTGCCTTAGCATTTTTTGTCCCATTACATTGATATGCATGTATTAATAAAGTTTCTAGTTTTATACATCAATGTTTTTGATTAAATAACTGACGCATGTTGTTATAATTGAGCAATATTTGATTTGTATGATATGAAAAATTCTTGATGTTTGTTTGTCATGTTGAATGCGCCTATGTATTGAAAGATAACAAACACATTTTCAATATCATCTTTCCATACTTTAATGTACAATTTTCGATTATAGAATTGCCTTGAGGCTTGTGGTTTTCTAAAAATGTGTCATTCAATAGCAACATAGGAGATTATAATTTCAAATAGTTTATTAAAAACTTATGTTCAGTTATTTCTGTTTTTAATTCTGTACAAAATCCTGCGTTAATTTTTCTATCTATTTATAAGTAAAAGATTTTTGAAGATGAAGGAAGCAGCCACTTTTAAATGTTTGCATGCATTTTTTTCTTAATCGCGGACAACAACTGTGTGATATTTCACTTCGTTAAATATGATTGTGTATATTTTTTATATTTTTATAAGTAAGTATCTTACACCGAAGAAACATGATCTTGTAGCAGTTGCAGTAAACGCTAAAGCTTGGTTACAAACACTATTTTCATTAGGATTGACAAAATCAAAATATTAAAAATTCAATCGTTGCTGAACGTTAAAATCTTCGCGTCATGAACTTATCTTACAAACTCATTCTATCCATATTTAGTTATTTTGTGGAATGTACATGAAATGACGTCTAAATATTACATAACCACGCAATGCAGAATTCCTTTTAACAGATTGTCGCATTATAAATTTTTTTGGCGATTTATTGTCTTAGCCTTTTTTGTCGAATTACATTGTCATACATGCATTAATGAAGTGTATATTTTTACACATCAATGTTTTTGATCACATATAATTGACGCATGTTGTCATAAATGAAGCAATATTTGATTTTGTATGACATCACAATTTTTTGATGTTTTCTTGAGAAATTGTCGATCTTCAACTTAGTAAATGTTCTTTTAGTAGAAGATCGTTTTCTGTAATAAAATAAGAGAAACAAACTGTCGTAAATAAAATTACATAACCATGCAATGAATATCATAAATGTTACAAGCTTTTAAAGAAAATCGCAAATAATTACTTTTGCAATTGTTGTGCATGATTTTCCTTTGATTTCATAGAAATTAAGAACTTTTTCACAATTTGCTGTTCCTACAATTTTTATCAAATTAATTAATCGGAGAACGTGGACGTGCGTTTTCAATATTGAGAAAGTGTTGCGAAACCAATAAAAAATGTGTCGCAACTATTTAAGAATAAGCATTGTATTTGTTTAAGTACCGCCTTTTTATCGCATACTTTATACGTATGTATTTCAGAACGGTTAAAATTGAAAGGAGCCGTGATTATTACAAAGATCCCATTTTTACTATGTTTTACAAGTTTATCAACAGAGAATGTCAACACGTCACTTTGCAATTGCGAAATTATATTACGAATTTTAGCCCCTCTTTTTTATTGCACAATTTAAAAAATTGGACTATTTGAAGAATTATGACGTGTCGGTTGGCTTAAGTAGAAAAATATAAGCTCCTTAATTTTGCCTCCAAAGTTGGGTATTTTTTGCGAACTTTGTACTACGCCATAATGATACTTGTGACGTAATAGTTGACCATTATTCTTCCGGTGATATAATATTATACATAAACATTAGGTGATTTGTATCCTTTGATCGTCGTTTTCTTGTTTTTCGCATGAATACACACATATTTTTATAAAATACAAAGAATATAGTAAGAAAAACTTATGCTAAGTGTAAGCTTCAATCAATTATCAGCTTGACACGATAACTCAGGGTCTGAATCCGTTTCCACGAGTCGTGCAAAAATCAAGTAGATATGTCGTAATGTCGAGCAATTTTATCAATTTGTGTGCGATTAGAAACCACTCGCTGTAGATGGGGAAGATTGTACTCTAGACAACATTTTCTCAGCAATAGTAGACCGACAAAATTACGCTGCTATATTGCATACTGTATAGCGGTCAAGCTCTTATAGCCCCTTAATATAGACCCTTTGCATTGACGTCACGCACGCTTTAGCAACTGTTGCTGGGGGAGCATCTGGAGGACAAGCACATGTGCATGCTTTATATGTTAATATGGTTAGTAACATACGTAAATACGTGCATTTTGACTAACGTCAGTCAACAACAACAAAAACAGTCCTTCTCAGGACTTTATTAACCTGGACTATTGTCATTTACAGACATATAACGATACTCCTGGGTTCAAACCATTTACTCTATAATTGTGGTAAGAAATTTTGAAGCCACCGCCGCCGTCACTAAAAGACAGACACATCGAAAGTTTTTTTAACAAAACTATGGAAAATATAGCAACACATGGCCAAATTATGCTTTAAGACAACTCAGAAGATTGAAAACAACCTTTGTGGCGATAGTAAAGGGAGTGAGAAAGAATAATCTGCCATATAAAAAAACGAATATTGGTTTCACTCCGAATCACTCGTAAAGAAGTGTTGTAACTTTAACGGATTGATCAGTTTATGACTATAAATGCGATTATTTAATCCGTTTATACTTCTGAACTGCGATTCCAAAAATTCTAGTTATTTCTATGCAGTTCCGGGATATTTTCCATAGTTCTTTCATATCCAAGTTGAGTTACTGATTACAAAAATCGTTGCAGTTTGACCATATTTCATAATATTTCATCGTATTTTTAGCTTATATATAAACTGATTTATCTTTCAGTTTTGTTCATGTAGTCGCTTGTTGAGAATTCTTGATTATTCTCCTATAAATCCACAATATATTTGCTTCTTATTTTCGATATTTGGTCCCTTTGTAATGGCGGCCGCTCTTTATTCTCTGTTTTCAACTTTTATGCTAGATGCTTGATTCAGTCTTATTTCGAGATCAGTGTTTCCTCCCTCTGAAGATAGGTGGAATACGTGGAGAAATCGCGCGAGTATGTATTGAAATGGTGAGAAAAGGCGGTTCTAGGTTACAAGACAAACCTTAAGATTTTGCGTTATTACGATTACCAACCACCGAATAAAAGCGTGAAAATGAACGAATGAAATAAAATATTACAATTTGTTTGTGAAATTATGTATATTTCATCTCCAAATAGAATATTTATTATTTTTTGAGAAATTTCTACTCCTGCCGGACGGGAGTAGCGGGACCTCTAGCTACGCCACTGAATGTACTTAAAGATATTTTAGCATCATTAAAGATTTTGGGAAGTTTTGACTGATATTTTAACATCTTGCTATCAAAATTTTTGACAATTATTGAATTGATGTACATCATGTTCCCACAATGTTAGCTACTTCTATCTTTTCTGATGAACCTTTGATAGTCTTACCATAATTTTTTTTGGACCAATCAAATAAAGAGTTGAGACAGCATTCATTCAGCACCATAGGCAAAACTGAGTTGGCAAACTTCATATTTAACATGGTTTTCTAAATTCACCGAATATATATATTCTTCTGTGATTTAAAATATTCATTGATTTCAAGATTTGATATTTCAATGCTGTCCTTATTTTTAATTTTCTTTTTTACAATTTTCGTATACTTTTAGAAATATGAATTAAATTTTTTTCTCCTTAATTAGTATAAACAAAAATTTGGACAAAAATTTGTTTATACTTAGAAAGTTATCTATTCGGGCGAAAGAATTTAGATTCGATAGTCTTTAAGACTTGAACCATTTTACCCTGCAAAATTTTCCAAACACGGCCATCATGTCCTTTAGATATTATTATTGCCACTCACAATTCACTTTAATATTGTCTTTTAACAAAAATTTTCATTTTGTTGCACTTTTAATATTAAAAATAATAAATTAAAAATAAATGGAAATGTTGATGATTTCGACTGATTTTGTGGTGCATAATCCTGAAAAAAACAATTGTATTTCGTAATATTCACAAAAAAATTTACTGATTATTAATGTTTTTGTCCAAGAAATAGTTATGTATAACTATTCCCGATCAGATTCTTACATGTAACAAAGTGTATAACAAATAATTTGCTAAAACAATTAAATGAAAGGCATATAGTAATTATAGAGGATGTCTTTCCAAAATTAGAGACATTGTTAATAAAACATCTCAAACCATTCATGAAGCTCTTCTTCGTTCGGATCGTGTCTCCACATTATTGACTGGCAAGTCCATCTAAGTCGTTTATTTACACGTGACTTTGCAGTGCAGGTAAATCCTCGAGTACAAGGACACTGTTGACTGAGAAGCATACGATACACGTTACAACGGTATCCGGGTGAAATCATTGGTTTGCAGCGTCCTCGTGAGCAACATTCGTTGAAATAGCACTCTGAACTTGATTTGCATTTCTAAAAAAGACAATATGGAGCTTTGGCAAAGTCTACGAGTACGACTACAAGTACGAAGTACGTCATATTGGCGCAAAAACATTGTTGTGACATCAAAAACTCGTAGCCGGCATCAATCTTTTGTTAAAAACTGTAGTCGCAACTACGATGTTTTTTAAAGAAAAGAAAGTAGGTAAATTTTTTTAATGTGCAAGAGCTTCGTTTACAATACTATTTTGACCTTTCAAGCTTTATTGAAGTCCCTTTTTTGAACGAAGATTTACATTTAAAACGAAAATACGATTTGCAAAACTTCCATGTATCTGGAACGCAAAGTGAATGATAGAAAAAAAAACAAAGTACTGCAAATCTATAATACAAAAACGGTAAAATAATGAAGAATTTTCTCACTAAGCAGTATTATATCCCCGCTATACCAGTAATACCAATTCGTCGATGTTATTAAGGATAAATTGAGCCGTAGTTGCTACTTAAAATGCGGTGTTTTTCACAGTAAAAAGCTCGTTCTGTTGTTTACGCTTAAAAACAATTTGACGATGCAACAACGACTACGGACTTTCTCGTACCATTCCGTCACACAGCAAAACTTCCTACTCGTAGTCGTAGTTGTTTGCTGAAGCTCACTAATGTTTGTATTAGTATAGCCTATAATAATCAGTTGATTTTTGTTTACACTGCAATACAGAATAATAATTGTGAGCTATATACTTGATTATTATGTTTTTATGATCTTTCACATCTACAAAATTATTAATTTGTGCGAAAACAAAATGGGTATTTTGCATGTTTGGTTACGTCAGCATTTAGCCGATTGGGTATGAGTTGATAAAATTTGCCTGTGTGATTTTGTGAAATGATCATCTTTCCGTGGTTTGCATTTTGTCACAACTGAGAAGTTTTTAATAGCTCTTACTAGTTATGTACATCGTATTTTACGCCTTAGTTCTATTGTCTTTATCTTACGCGCACTTTATTGCCATAGATAATTCGTTCAGACTCTCGCACTGAATACGTCGACATGCATGACCTCTTGAATTCAGTTTTGCTAGTATGCTCAAAAGTTCAATCGTAACACGTCAACATAATTATATTTAGTTTTGAGATTTTTTTTTACCTGATGTATTCTGCGGAAAATTCAATTAATCCCAAATTTTAGCGAATTCGTATTATGATCAGTTTTCAGCACATCATGTAAACGATAAAAAATTGAGTTAATTAATAAAAGTGACACAAGATGCTCATGTATGTAATCAACTTGTTTTTGTTAGTTTTATCTCACGTAAAAATGGTAAGAAATTTTTTAATGCTTAAAGAAGCACGCAAAGTTCATGGATAACGTCAACAGCTTTTGACTATCCATTTGACATTTGTCATCGGGCCATAATGTTATTTTGTAAGAACAGGAATAATTTGACTCTTTGTATGCTATTGAATAACATTGTTAGATGTTTATTGTTATTCACCGCTTTAAGCAAGGGCAAATTTAAAATATGATTAAATGAGGTTTTTATTAGTTATATAATTAACAACTATCATCATTCCAAAATGCAACAATTCTTTGCAATTTCCTGAAAAGAACAAGGAAACAGTTGAAATATGTTCTCTTTGCATTAGCCAGACAATTAAAACATAAATCCTATTTAACCCTAATGTACTAAGTAAAAAGTTATTTTACTTTTGAGATTTTTTAAGTCGCTAAAGTATGTACGAAATTTTTTTAAGACTTTTCTGCTTATATATTTACTGACTTAACCGTTCTTCAAATAAGTATCTTTAGCTTGTCAACACATTAAGCATTTATTATTTTACTTTTATATCTTGATAACCCTTATTTTTGTATTTCAAAACAACTGTTGCGGATAAAATGCCGCAATTAGAGTTGATATATAGTCAATAGTTATATCTCCAATATTTTGTTCATGACCAGCAGTATTAAAACATAGTAGCTATAACATAAATATGAGCGCTTTAGTTGTCGTGGGAAAATATTTCGTGCCCATGTTGTTTTTCAAGGAGATTTGAATACGATATATTCAAGTGCAATTTTTGCTGTGCACAAGGATGTTAGCCGGTGTATGCAGCTGTATCAGAAATATTATTTTTAATTAAATCAGGAATTGTAAATTAAATAAGAATTAACTATAACAAGACAAATAAGACCAAGAGGACACGGAAGTCTGAAATCTCTACTAAGACAAAACTTTCTATCTTGTTTTAGCTTTGCAGTGGTCAGAATACACATACCTAAAAGTCGCTTTCAAAAGAAAGGCTTTATAAGAATATATTTTAATTGTGTATCGAAGTACAATGATGTTTATATAATAAGAGTCAAATACTCCTATATAAAACAGCGCCCAATAATCTTTACTTAATTTTGTGTTAACTCTTTCTCCGGTTATCAGTAGAGACTCTGCGCCTGTAGCTTTATGCTCCTTGTAAAAATAAGGGTTCTCTGTTTCCAATATAATATAAAGAAAATCATTTGATGAATTTAATGAGTTTTATTGGTAGCAGACACGCAGCTGTTATTCGCTGATTGAAAAAATTCTGAAAAACGTGTTTTTAGAATCTCGTGGATTACAAAGTATTGAAGTTAATTATCTTTTCAAAGTAAGAAGTCGTGTGTTTATTTTTGCATTTGAAATTTTGTACACCACTTAAATAGAATTTTCACGCAAAAGATTTTACCTCAGTAAAAGCTATGTTAGTATTAATTTGTATATTGAACAGAGCTTTAAAGTTTATCTTTGCAAGGGTCACATTAAGCCGGATATTTACGCCGTAAATTTGTTTAAGTGTTCTGGAACACATGTTTTTGAAATTGTCATTTAATACAAGTTATCATCCCAGTATATATATATATATATATATTAATCCTAACACGGTTTTAATATGCACATGAAAAACATGCGACTTGGACGAAATTTGAACTCACACATTCGAGATACTAGTCCACCGCTCTAACTGTTGCTACCAAGCCCAAAGAGATTGGAGTCTCATCCCGAAGGTGCGAGATCAAATCTTGTCCAAGTCATATGCATATTAAAACTGTGCTAGGATTAATATATTATATAATACAAATATATGCTATTTTATATGGATATGAAGATAAAATAGTGGAGCAAAAGGTAAAAGATATTTACATACCTTATAGTATCTTGCCTGTACAGCCAAAAGACATAACACAATCAAAATGATCAAGATAGATATGAACCTCATTATCCTCTTCTGCTTCACATGCACAACCTTTATCAAGAGACTAAAGACAATGTGATATTTATTGTGTCAGCACAGGCTTAACACGCGCTAATCTTAGAAATTAAATATTAATTATGAAAAGAATTTGCCATGAGGAAATTGAAATCAGGGTGATGAATTAAAGGTGTTGATAAAGCTGTATGTAAATGAGAAGGAATAATTAGACTCGTATCACTGTTATACCATATTTCAATATCAGTTGTTAATAACTTTTTTTCCAAAACACACAAACTAGTCTTTCTTTTATTGAAAAAAGAAAAAGTAATTGGTCGTATGCTTTCAAAAATCACACGACAATATCATAAGCAGACTTACAAAAATTTTTTATCGTAATTGGTTTAAAGCTATACAAATGTTTTTCATCACTTAAACAAACAGACGAACCTGTTGTTCTTAATTAAATAATCTTTCAAACCAATTTTATCAATAGCACGTGTTTTTAATTCTGAATAGAAAAATCACATTAAGTCTGGAGTTGTATATGTCTGAAGTATCTTAAACAAGTCTTGCCTTGCGTAAAATTGTACAAGTTACTTCTTTAAAAAAATTTAGATTCATAAATTGTCTATTAAAAAATTGCACTTGTCTTTGGTGTTCTTGCATGAAATACTCATAAACTATTCAAATAGATCTGTTCATCGATCTTTATTAGCAAATTTATGGTATTAAATTTTCTATAAAATCTTCTATCAAATTGCAATACTTTAGGGGTTCTTAATTTAACTTTACCAAGTGTGACAAGTTACCTTTGCTGTAACAATGTTGTAACACGATTGTTAGTGTTTTGTTATTCTATAGGTATTAAGTTACGAGAAACTATTGATTCCTAAAAAATTTTAAGTAAGTATCTGAAATGTTTCTACCATCATCAACCGTACGGTTAGATCATGAAACACGTAAAAGTATCTAAATTTCTAACATCGAGGAAATATGACAGCAAGTTTACAGATCAATTATAATAAAAATTCATTGAGGATGTATTTAATTGTGAAGATTTAGTTTCAGTGGCCATTTCAAAATTCTTTCAACAATTTATTTTAAAGCGTAGCTATGAAAGAAAGGAACACTATAGTGCAGTATTTTTTAGTTTTGCATGCATTTAATGACAAATTTTACGCTTTCGTGAAATGACTGGAACATTTAAAATCGTAATTAAAAAAGAAACATAATTTTTTAAGCATCCAGTCTTCTTTTGCTGACCACTGTTAAACAAAAATATTAGAGGCTGGTGGTTAATTGTAAATAAAAAATTAATTCCAAAACAAAATTTTCGCTCTAAGTATCTAACAAATTATTAATGATTAATGCAATATTTGGAAGAATACTAATTTCTAAAAATAGACGCATAAACATAGCCAAGGTCTGCCATTGTCTCTCCTATTATTTCTATACACAAGTCGTCTTTTTATTTTTTAGATCAGTTTTTGTTTCTTGAATTATGGTTACGACATATACACAGGAAAAACCTTTATCGCCTGCTGGGACACATGTGGATGAATCATGAAGCCAAACTTAACACGTCACAAAATAAAACTTCTACGTTACACAATTGAGACAAGATAAAAACAAGAGACGTAGCGAATTTTCCAGAACAAGTTCCTTTCAACAGCTTGTCCCTTTATAAATTTTTTGTATTGATTGATTGCCTTAGCATTTTTTGTCCAATTACATTGATATGCTTGTATGAATAATGTTTCTAGTTTTATACATCAATGTTTTTGATTAAATAATTGACAAATGTTGTCATAATTGAAGCAATATTTGATTTGTATGATATGAAAAATTCTTGATGTTTGTTTGAGAAGCTTTTATTCAGCGACCATTTTCTTAATTAAAATAATAAGAAAAAGATCATGTTGAATGCGCCTATGTATTGAAAGATAACAAACACATTTTCAATATCATCTTTCCATACTTTAATGTACAATTTTCGATGATAGAATTGCCTTGAGGCTTGTGGTTTTCTAAAAATGTGTCATTCACTAGCAACATGTGCGATTATGATTTCAAATAGTTTATTAAAAACTTATGTCGAGTTATTGCTGTATTTAATTCTGCGTTAATTTTTCTATCTATTTCAAATAATGAAAATGTAAGATGGCCTCATTGGAGTAAGCTTACATGCATGCACGCGTATATGAATCGTCTTTATTCTTGGAGTCGTGTTTCCTTATCACGAAGTAAAAGAGTTTTGATTCTATAAATGAGCATAAGTAAAAGATTTTTGAAGATGAAGCAAGCAGCGACATTAAAATGTTTGCATGCATTGTTTGTTAATCGCGGATAACAACTGTGTAATATTTGACTTCGTTAAATATGATTGTGTATATTTTTTATATTTTTATAAGTAAGTATCTTACACCGAAGAATTATGATCTTGTAGCAGTTGCAGTAAACGCTAAAGCTTGGTTACAAACACTATTTTCATTAGGATTGAGAAAATCAAAATATTAAAAATTCTATCGTTACAGAACATTGAAAACTTCGCGTCATGAAATTATCTTATAAAATCATTCTATACATATTTAGTAATTTTTTGGAATGTACATGCAATCACGTCTAAATTTTACATAACCACGCAATGCAGAATTCCTTTTAACAGATTGTCGCATTATAAATTTTTTTAGTGATTAATTGTCTCAGCCTTTTTTGTCGATTACATTGTCATACATGCATTAATGAAGTGTCTAATTTTACACATCAATGTTTTTGATCACATATAATTGACGCATGTTGTCATAAATGAAGCAATATTTGATTTTGTATGACATCACAATTTTTTGATGCTTTCTTGAGAAATTGTTGATTTTCAACTTAGTAAATGTTCTTTTAGTAGAAGATCGTTTTCTGAAGTAAAATAAGAGAAAAAGATCATATTGAATACTCCATGAATTACAAGAACACAAACAAACTATCGTAAATAAAATCGCATTCATACTTGGATTTTTTTTTGTGCCGAAGTTGATGAGTTTCTATGTCTATGAGCACGAAAAAGGAATCTTAAATATGAAGCAAGCAGCTACTTTCGATATTTTGTTGCTTTGAGAATGTTTATTTAAACATGTCAGGTTTTTACATAACCATGCAATGCAATCTCATAAATGTTACAACCTTTTAAAGAAAATCGCAAATAATTACTTTTGAAATTGTTGTGCATGATTTTCCTTTGATTTCATAGAAATTAAGAACTTTTTCACAATTTGCTGTTCCTACAATTTTATCAAATTAATTAATCGGAGAACGTGGACGTGCGTTTTCAATATTGAGAAAGTGTTGCGAAACCAATAAAAAATGTGTCGCAAGTATTTAAGAATATGCATTGACTTTGTTTAAGTATCGCCTTTTTATCACATACTTTATGCCTATGCATTTCTGAACGGTTAAAATTGAAAGGGGCAGTGATTATTACAAAGATCTCATTTTTACTATGTTTTACAAGTTTACCAACAGAGAATGTCAACATGTCATTTTGCAATTGCGAATTTTTATTATGAATTTTAGCCCCTCTTTTTTATTGCACAATTTAAAAAATTGGACTATTTGAAGAATTATGACGTGTCGATTTGCTTAAGCAGAAAATATATAAGCTCCTTAATTTTGCCTCCAAAGTTGGGTATTTTTTGCGAACTTTGTACGACGCCATAACGATACTTGTGACGTAATAGTTGAACATTTATGCTTCCGGTGATATAATATTATACATAAACATTAGGTGATTTATATCCTTTGATCGTCGTTTTCTTGTTTTCGAATGAATACACACATTTTTAAAAATACAAAGAATATAGTAAGAAAACTTATGCTAAGTATAAGCTTCAATCGATTATCAGCTTGACACGATAACTCAGGTTCTGAATCCGTTTCCACGAGTCGTGCAAAAATCAAGTAGATATGTCGTAATGTCGAGCAATTTTATCAATTTGTGTGCGATTAGAAACCACTCACTGTAGATGGGGAAGATTGTACTCCAGACAACATTTTCTCAGCAATAGTAGACCGACACAGTCACGCTGCTATATTGCATACTGTATATAGGTCACACTCTTATAGCCCCTTAATATAGACCCTTTACATTGACGTCACTGGGGGAGCATCTGGAGGACAAGCACATGTGCACGCTTTATATGTTAATATGGTTAGTAACATAAAGTCAGCGCTTTTTAGGTCAAAAAAAAGGTTTTTTGCCTGGATATATAGAAAATATTCAGTGTAAGGATAGTAAAGCGCGTTACAAAATGAAATTAGGACAATGCAATGGAGATGATCCGTATGAAATACCAGTGGTGGATCAAGTGTACGTCAAAATAAATTATAGCTCCTTAATTTTGAAGACAATTTACTTTCAGAAATGCACTACTGGTTTTTAATTTCTAAATAATACAATTTTACTAATGATTACACTCTAAGGTACATAGAAATGTAAATATACGCCAAAATGTGCTGCAGTAATTAAATTTGATGTACTCTGGATCTGCCACTGTGAAATACCAAAAAATCAATGGCTCGATGATATCGATCTGTGGCCTGCTGTAAGCTACATTGATGTTCGTATTTATTTATTTTTTTCGGTTAGTCTGTACACGAAAGAGCAATTAAAAAACTATAAGAGTCTTGATAGTTATCAAAATTTTGTGAATGGATGGGTGCGTGAAGTGTTGGTTAAAAAATATGGCGATCATAGCTTGCTTATTGCTAAGGTAAATTATTCTCAATTGTCACTAAAAACATTGCACATTGCCTGCACTCGTGCTTTAATGAGACTGAACACCTTGTTTCTTTTTTCACTACACCAGGTTAATCACTCTCAAAGAATGACGGAGAAGCCACTTACTCCTTTTGTTGTTCGCGAAAAGAACGGCAATGTATTAACAGCGCATTGCGATTGTATGGCATGATTAGGTAAAAGCTGATCTCACGTCACTTCACTTCTGTGGGCTGTTGAAGCTGATGCACGAAAACTAGATTCTCTAACTGTAACTGATAAAAAGGCATACAGGGTCCTTCCAAGTGCTGTCAAGGCTGTGTCATACGCCAAAGTAAAAAAT